CAGGACGCACGCCGCCGCGGGATGAAGTACTCGCGCGCCGACGTCACCGCCTCCTTTGGCGCGGCGTACATCCTGCCGCGGCGATCTTGCGACGTGCGCATCAACGCGTCGGAGGCACTGCGCGATGTGCTGAACAACATGGGGCTTGGCGACACCGTGACGTACCTCGCGCTGGCGAGCACGTCGAACCTGGCGGCGGCGCTGAGCTACCTGGGCTTCCGCGACCCCGAGCGACGGCAGCGCCTCCGGCAGGTGGCGACGGTGCACATCTTCGAGAAGGGCTACAGCCTCGCCGTCGATGACGCGGCGACGGCACAAATACTGGGCGAGGCGGGGCTGCGCTGCGTCGTGTACCTGCCGCGCTTCTACGATCCGGCGGTCACCTTCTCCTTCAGCACGTGGGGCCAGTTCAGCGCCGTGGCGCAGGGGGCTGGCGCGTCGAAGGCCGTCGCGTGGCTCTTCAGCGCGTGGTCGGCGAAGAAGGTGCTCGTTGAGGCGCACGACGATGATCCGCTCACTGCGTTCTTCAGGGAGCGCGGCCCGGCGAGCAGCCTCGTGACGCTCTGCGCGCTCGACGCGACGGTGCAGGCAAGCTGCATCAAGTACCGCACCGCCGTGGCGCAGATGTCGTTCCAATTCGATCTGCCTGCCAGCACCGGAGATGGCAGAGTTTCATATAGCATCTCCGGCAACAACGTGACATGGCCCTCCTCCCTGCTAGTGAAAGTGGGCGACAGCAGAAACGCCACACAGTTTCTCGTGGCGCAGCCCGCCGACAGCTTGCCGCCCGCCACCACAGCCCCGCTCGTGGGTGTCTTTTGGTCGGTGTGGTTGGACCTCCTACGGCTGTAGGTATGTGACGTGGACGCACGATGTTTTGCACGCCGCTCTCCTGTTGTGTGGCTTTGCTTTGTGCTCTCAAAAGCATATGCACCCTTGTTGCCTGCAAGTTTGTCGTATCTCTTTTCCTTTTCGCCTTGTGTCCTTCTCTTTCCCTCTCTCCATAATATATATACTCATATATATANTGTGTGTGTGTGTGTGCTTGTCTTTGAAAAATGAGGAAGGGAAAAAGAAAACTGTTAGAGGATAACATCCTTACCACCAGCGTTATCAATGGGTGCGTGGTTCTCTCAGTTAAAGGCTGCGCTGGGTCTGGTGCCAGTCGACAAGAAGATTCGGGTGCTCATCTTAGGCCTCGACAACGCGGGGAAGACGTCAATTCTGTATCACCTGCAGTTAGGCAACGTGGTGTCTACTGTTCCCACAGTGGGTTTCAATTTGGAGACAATGCATTACAAGAACATATCGTTCGAGGTGTGGGATTTGGGTGGCCAGGCAAATATTCGGCCGTTCTGGCGTTGCTACTTCACCGACACGGATGCCATCATCTACGTTGTGGATAGCACCGACAAGGATCGCATGGGGGTCGCCAAACACGAGCTGTATAATTTACTAGACGAGGACGAGTTGCGGGACAGCTTGCTGCTGATATTCGCCAACAAGCAGGATATGATGGGCGCAGCAAGCGAAACGGAGGTTGTTCAGCAGCTTGGTGTCGCGTCGCTGACGACCCGCACGTGGACAATTGTGAAGAGCAGCGCGAAAACTGGTGAGGGGCTTATTGAGGGGATGGATTGGCTCTGCGACAAGTTGCGCGAGCGGGGCACCGTCACCAGTCCTCCGTAGTCGCGTGAAGACGATGTTAATGTGTTTCGCTCGTATGCGACGGCGTTGTGCGTGACCGTATTCTCTTTTTTCTTGTTCCGTTGTCTCTGCTCTAGTTAGAGAGGAGATTGATTCCCGGCAGTGGACGCGTACTGTGTTATTATTATTATTATTATTGCTGTTGCTTTACAGCTGTGCATTTCTCATCCTTATTGTCTCCTTCTCACTCACTCCGTGTGGAACTTTTCTTGCCTCTTCTATCCTTGTGCTTTATGGCTCCCTCACCCATAAACACCATCCCCCCGGTGTGGTGTCTTTTTTTTTTTTTCTCTGTGTGTGGGCGTGGCAGAAGAATTGGCGACGTTTAGTGTTGGGTGCACGTCCGCTATTCTCTGGCGCATCTCAGGTGGTGCGGAGGTGTAGGTGCGGGCAGACCGGTGAGGAACCAAAACAAAACAAGCAAGAGTGAGCACCAGTGATTCATTAGGAGTGTGAGAGAGAGACACATGGACTTCCAGGCGCTACAAAGCACACTGACGGGGGCGTGTGGCATCTCCACTTCTTCCAAAGCGTTGGCGTTTGATCACCACTACGAACTCCTTGACGAGATCGGCAAGGGGGCGTACGGCACCGTGTGGAAGTGCTGCCGTCGGCATGACGTGATGAAGCGGCCGTATGGAGTCAAAATAATCAACAAGCGACAGGCGGGCGCCAAGGGACTCAAATGTGTGATGGGGGAGGTAGAGACGATGAGTCTTCTGAATCATCCAAACATTGTGCGTCTCGAAGAGACGTTTCAGGACGAGGAGAATCTGTGGATTGTGATGGAATACATGCCGGGTGGGGAGCTGCAGCGTGTGTTGCAGCGGCACAGCTCGTTTAGTGAGAGCCAAGCTCGACGCATCACAACGCAGCTGCTTCTGGCGTTGGAGTTCATCCACCAGAAAGGGATCGTACATCGCGACCTCAAGCCAGAGAACTGCCTGCTGTCGGAGGGCGATCTCATCTGCAAGATATCCGATTTTGGATTTGCCGCGCTTGTTGGATCCGACCAGTGTCTCATGTCATTCTGCGGCACTACTGCCTTCATGGCGCCGGAAATATTCGCTGACACCAACTACGGCAAGCCGGTCGACATGTGGGCGCTTGGTGTGATGGTGTACCTCATGGTGAGTGGTGAGTACCCCTTCACAGGGCGTTCTCAGAAGGAAGTGACCGACGCAATCTGTGGTGTACGGTACAACATGAAGACAGGTCTAATTAGTGAGGGAACACTGGCGCTGCGTGATTTTATATCTAAACTACTCGAGATTGACCCGAATCGTCGTCTCAGTGCACGCGATGCACTAAAGCACCCATGGATTAAGGTCGGTATGGACATGGAGGACTCTGATGGAGAGAATACAGAGCGGAAGAAACATGGACTTCGACCACGTAGTATACTTCGTGGCGTCGTCATTGCTGTAATGGCGGCGCACCGATTATGTTATCTGCGTCGCTGCCGCATGCTGGAAAAAAATGCGTGTGGCAGCTGCTCGGTGCTACGCAACTTCCGTTACGCAGTCTCAGGTGTGTACGAGCCTCCGCGCCCCACCCTTGACTGCAGTGGCGTGTTTGCAAAGAACCCACACGGTGTGAGTTTTCTATTCCCCATGGTGGAGGTGAGTCGCACCATCGAGGGGCTTGATCTAAGCAGCAACAACATCGATAGTCTGGGTATATTCCAGCAGCTCGTCAAGGCAATCGGGCACCACCCGACGCTTGTCTCGCTGAATCTGTCGCATAATCCTATCCCGGCTCTCGCTGGGCGGGGCCTTCTGCGCCTCGCACGGAGCCCACAGTCAAAGCTGGTCCAGCTAGGACTAGACGGGACGCTTATATCGTTCGAAACGCTTGCACAAATCGCCACGGCTCTGAAGGAGAAGTCCTCGGTTTCCCCCGCGGTGGCGTACACGTCGCACCTCAATTCGACTCTGCGGCACGCAGAGAACTCCTCGCCGACGCAGCTGCAAAGCATCCGCGCCGCGGCCCCACGGCCACGGCCTGGCGCGACGCAGACGTCCCTCACACGCCCGCGCACGTCGCACAACACGACGCCACGCCTTCCCCCAATCACTCCATCGAGGCGCCGTGCGGAGAAATGATTAATGTGCGCCCGCTGCTTGCTGTCAAGGCTGTGTGCTGTGCATGTATCTACTGTAGTGTTATCACCATCCAAGGCGGAAGTTGCCCCATGCAGAATCAGAACTGTGTGACATGCGACTTTGCACCGTATCAAAAGGGGCAAAGAGGAGGGCGGAGGAAAAAAAAAAACAACAACGACAAACGGACGGCCAACAACAAAAATAGTGTGAAGGGGCAGTAAGCCGATTTGTGCACAATGCCCGCTTGGATGTGCGACTGGGGTGCCATTCTTTGCGGGTTTCCGATTTGCCTTTTTTCTTGATTTTTAAGAGTCACATATTGATTGAAAAAAGGGAGTGGAGATAGAGAGAAAGAGAGAGAGCGAGAGAGAGGTGTCTCTTCCTCACCCTTCTGCAGGAAATCACGAAGGGCATATAATTAAGCGGCGATAATGGAAGGTGCTGCGTCTTCTTCGTCACCCTCCGCGCTGGTGATTTGGGGGAGCACCGGCAGGCGGCTTCAGTTCACGCGGCAGGACTTGCAGATGCCGGACACCGTCAAGGCGAGGCCGAATCACCACTTCTTTGAAAAGCAGTGGGATGCGGTGGCCGGGTTCTGGATGAACCGCGTGCTGAAGGAGGCGGCGCTTCAACACATGAGCGTCAGCGATGTTGTGCAGTGCATCGTCCACGACATTGACAAGCGGTGGGAGCAGCGCAAGCGGGAGAAGGCACTCTACAAGAGACGAAAGCGGCTGCTCGACCCAAGCGGCACAACGGCTGCCGGCGTGCCGTCACAGCACGTGCTGCTGACGAACATTCTGTCGCTCGACGCGTACCGGGAGCACGTGGCGGCGGACACGCTGGAGGAGTTGGTGGCGGCGGTGCTGGCGAAGGTGGAGGAGGTCGCGAGGGAGAAGGTGGTGCACCACACCCTCCTTGTTGATGACGAGGAGAACACCGACATCAGCAAGGACAAGGAGAATAAGGGCAATGACGACAGCGACAAGGGCATGGCCGAGGAACCCGCAAAGAAGCGGAAGCTGGAGGGGAGCGGCGAGGCGACGTTTGACGATCACGTGGCGCTCGTCTGCACATTCACCTCGCAGGAGAAGGCCGCCAGCGTCGTCGCTGAGCTGCACGGAAGCACGTTTGATTCACGAGCGGTGCTGTGCCGCTTTTACGCCTTGTAGCCTGCTTCTTCATTCTTTATATTCCTCGCACTGTGCGTTTTTATCTGCCTCTATATGTATATACACGCCTCCTTGCCCGCAGCGACCAGGGGTGTGCATGCCCTATTCTCCCCGTTTTCACTCCTCTTTCTCTCTCTCTCTCTTACACACACACACACACACACACACACACACACATGGTCACATGCAGGCAGACGAACAAAGACACTTGTGTGGTGTCGGCCGTACTTCTTTAGTGGATGCCTGCAGTGTGGCGTGGCGTTCGGCGCCTGGGGACAGCCTCAGCTTCAGCAGCCTCAGCAGTGCGGTGCGCGACGACTGGTGCGCATCACAGCTACCGCCCAGGGCCTGTTGCGCGGCTGCTGCGGCGCGTGTACGTTGCTGTGACGCCGCGCAGGTTGCACCGGCGCATGGCGGTGCGGCTGCAGGCCGGCATGGAGCGTGTGCAGGAGCTGGAGAAGGAGCAGCTATGGCTGCAGCAGCACGGCTCCCCGCTGCGCGTGATGGGGCTGCCAGAGCACGCGGATCTCGTAGAGGTGCGGTCGCGCTACCGCGACCTCGTCTTCGCGACGCACCCCGACACCGCGCAGGGCAACGCAAAGGTGCAGTACGACACAATCCAGACCGCGTACAGGATGGCAACGTCGCCGACGAGCCTGTGGCATCAGAATGGCTCTGCGCCGGCGCTGTACCACCACCTCGTCGCCACCTCCGCGCGCGCGACGCGGCGTGTNTGGCATCAGAATGGCTCTGCGCCGGCGCTGTACCACCACCTCGTCGCCACCTCCGCGCGCGCGACGCGGCGTGTGAACCGAGTGACGCTCTTTGCCTTCCTTTCGTACTGCGTGATGGGCGTTGTGGGGATTATCTTCTCCGCTGTTGTGGTGCGGCAGCTGCTGGAGGTGGCGCTGCGCCTCTTCGACCCCGAGTTCTACGCATTCATGGTGGCGCAGGAGCAGGACGAGGAGCGGCGGCGGCTCGCGGGGGAGGTGGTCGACACCGACCCGAAGCGGCTCGCCCCGACCGCAGTTAAGCGGCTGCTCTTCCCCGGCCGATTCGTGCACAAGAAGAACACTAGCAACAACAGCAGTAGCAGCAATGATGAGGGGGGCTCCGATGGGTGACGGCGTTACTCTGAGGCTTATGTGAGTCTCAACACAATTGCTGCCGCTGGAGGAGACGATGATGATTGTAGCGGTGGCTGTTGTGAAAAAGGCTCATTTCGCCCTGCTCCTTTTCTCTGCTCCGCCGCCGATCCTTTGTTGTTCCGCTTGCCGTGCCTCCTCCCACTTTCCTCCCTCTCCCTCTCTCGTCTTCTCTGTCGCGTTGACGCCGCGTGGATGCGGGACGATCGAGGGATAGTGCACACGGACGGCCGGCGGCATATATATATATATATATATATA